ATGTGAAACGGAGTGACGTAACGATCGGTAAATGCGATTTGTTGCTGCTGTTCGTTTAATTGTGTGTAAAATTTCAGCCCAATCGAAAACCAACTACTTTGGCGTATACCTGAAGAGCTGCTTAACCAAGAGTGATAATTATGGTGATAAAAGTGCTGGTGATAGGCTCAGTTGTATGGATGAAGGTGGCGATGTTACCCTCCCCCTCCCCCCCCCTTCCCCAATAAGAGAAAAATGGCATCAATATAAAAGTGTACGCAGCCTTATTTCGCTAACTATTCCATTACGCACGCAACATATTTCTTTCCATTTTTTGATACTGTCCATCATGCAAATGCAAGTCAACATGTAACAAAGAGAACTACAAAGATCATTAGCTCTGCAGATCACTTCATTTAATGACCACTGAAAATCAACGTTTAATTCCTCGCTAGAAAACCCGCATTTTTACAGAGAGGTTACAAACAATTAAATGCCTGGTCAATAAGGGAAAAGGCAAGGAGGAAATATTTCGCCATACTTTCGTTGAGGATTAATACGGACGTTTCATCAAAATCTGTAACCATCCTTCTAATAGAAAAATTTGCCTTAAAGGCGTAAGCAGAGCAGTTAACCCGTAAGGGTCACAGCCTGGACAGCCGATCAAGACGTTTACAGCCGATCCACTAAACTTCGCTCCAGCTGCAGCAGTCTTTATTCCAGAGAAGAACTTTACTGTTTGAATGGAGTTATCGATGAATATCACATTTCCAGTGTCACCTACTCTGTGAAGGCAGCTAATCACTGAATGACCTTTCAGGCTGGATTCGAATTTTAACAAGTTTATTCTCCAGTCGCAAAACGGCGAAAAGTGAAAAATGGCCAAGCCTAGGTTCGGTATCCAACTGTACGCCAGTTGCGTCGCAATCAAAAACCAATCGAAATACTACTAGCAATTTCGTTCAGATAAACTCCATGAAAGTCATTCGCAGTCGATCGATTAAAGAAAAACTTGAAAATTTATGATACCCTTTTGAATAGAATTCTACGGAGTATCGGATACCGCAAAAGTTAGCCGCTTCTAGCCTCACAAGCTTCCCTCACACTGCACAAGAATAATCGTAACGACTGAAGAAAGATTTAAATCGAACTATCTTACGAGAGGAAAAACGCAAAGCTCTAGCTATTCGATAGCTCTTAACCTGACTAAAGCAGCACTGTGCCTTAACCGAGAGTCTTACAAGGGGCATGAGGGGTTTTTCGAAAAGGAAATCTCTTTATGGACCACTGTATAGGCTCATGAGATCACAGACCTTGAACATTCGCCTAGAACGTTATCCCATGCTTTAGTCGTTCTTTACGCCATGCGACGTGTACAGGAGGACGCGGTAATAGAAAACGCACAGTAATAAGAGAGAAATCGTCTAGGGGACAAACGGAATATTCGATCTTTTTATTGATATAAGACTCGGTGTTATAGTAGGCGTCAACGGTTTGTAGATATACACATAATCACATGTGAAGGTTAACTGCAAAGCAAATAGCTACAAAAAAACGAGTGATTGCAAACACCAGGGTAGGGCAGGCCTTTGACCTACGACTACTTTCATACGTGGTGTCGACAATTCACCCAACGCTCAAGGGAGTTTCATTCATTGTTTCCAACATCACTTCATCTTCTGTTAGGTCTTATATTTGCCCTCCCCGGTCACTGCTCTGAATGGAGGCACCATGAAAAAGAGTTCGAGATGTCTTTCATACGAACAACTGTCAGAATCGATCAGTGCAGGTAGGATTTGTTATAGCAGTTTTGCCAGATGGACA